GAATCCTTCAATCCTTGAATCCTTAAATTCCCTGCCCTGGAGTCATCACCTAGAAACTCTACAAGAACCAAAACCCAGACGTTAATGACTCAGTCTTATCATGGTGCCCAACCTGCCACTCTCCAACAGGTCACTTACCTGCCTCCTGGAAATCATCACCTCCTTCCTAGTCCAGGAATTCTCCTCCCCTCCTCTCCTAGCCTGTAAAATACCAACATTACGTTAAAAGGAAACTTCTACTCTGGTTAAAGTTAGTCCATGAGATTAATATACTCACCATCTTTTATCTCCCAAAGCTCCTTCCACTAAAACCTTAAATAACCACTTACGTCTTACTCCTCGAGTCCTTAAGCCTTTTGGGTTTCGGTATTTCAAACTCTGGGGTATAAAAGACAAATATTACTAAAATGACAAAAGTTGATGGAAAAATGAAAAAAAAAAAGTACAGTGAAAAAGTCAAGAAGTTATGTCTTTGTTGCAGAACAACAGTACATTTTATAAAGACTGAATGAATGAATTTAGTTAAATGTGGTTTGTTCATGAATGAATAATATTTGCACATTTTCCTCTTCCACCTGGCTGACATCCGGGACTGGATGGCTTTAAACTTCTTAAGCTTCAATGAGAAGAAGTCTGAAGTCATGCTGTTCCATCCCAGTGGCTCACTCATGAACCATGACATTGACCTTTTCTCTCTAGCCCCGCTAGAGAAACAAAAGGTCACTAATCTGGGGGTGATAATGGACCCGTCCTTAAAACTCAACAGTCACGTAAACATGATGGTCAAATCCTGTTTTTTTCAGCTGAGACGGCTGTCTAAGCTGAAACCTATACTCTCCAAAAAGAACCTCGAGACAGTGATCCACGCCTTCATAACATCTAGGCTTGATTACTGCAATTCACTTCTGTTTGGAATCAGTCAGTCCTCCATTGCTCGTCTACAACTGGTCCAAAATGCTGCAGCCCGATTTTTAACTGGTACAGGCTATAGAGAGCACATCACGCCAGTTTTGGCCTCCCTGCACTGGCTACCCATTCACCTTCGGATCCATTTCAAAATTCTCATGTATGTTTTTAAATCACTGAACAGTTCCGCCCCATCCTATCTCACTGATCTTCTGCAGCCATATGTCCCACCGCGCTCTCTGAGGTCAGCAGACCAGATGCTTCTCTCAGTTCCAGAAACCCATCGTAAGCTCAGAGGTGACAGGGCTTTCTCTGTTGCAGGTCCACGACTGTGGAATGAGTTGCCACTGAGTGTCCGGCAGGCTCCCACACTCTCAGTCTTTAAGTCTCGCTTGAAGACCCACTTCTATTCGCTTGCCTTTAACACGGTGTGATTTGTTTTGGTCCGGTCTGTTCTCTACTCTGTTGGCCATTTTAGTTAGCTTCTGCTGCTATTTGTATCTGTATTTCTATTTTATGTTTTCCTGTCTGCTGTGCATGTTTGGTTCTTTTGTACAGCACTTTGGTTGGCCTTGTTGCTGTTTTAAGTGCTCTATAAATAAATTGGTATGGTATGGTATGGTATGGTATGGCATGGTATGGTATGGTATGGTATGGTATGGTATGGTATTTTACCATCAGCTAATGCTCTGCAGCAGCTGTGATGAAAAATAGTCATGTAGGAAACTCCCACAGAAGTTTGTAAAGATTAAATCTGTTGAGCAGGTGTTGCACATTAACATCTACATTTTATTATTTTTATTTTCTCTACTCAACTAAGTTTGTTCTGCTTATAATAGTAAATCAATATGTTGTACGTTTTCCACCTCTTTATATATTTCAATTCTAAGCCCAGTTGTTTGTTCTGTTCATAGGCATTGCAACAATTATATATGAAGGGGATGTGTCCCCCTCACATTGAAAAAATATTAATTTGGACCCCCCCCCCCCCCCACACACACACACACACACACACACACACCCTTATCATGAAATATTAGTTCACCCAACGCTGTTTCTGTTTCTTCATGAACTAATCTATTCCACTCGAATAACAGGAAAATACTCCAACCACTAAAAGTCCACTCCAGGTTTTCCTGGTTACCTGCAACAACTCACCACAACATGCAGCGTTTCTTCTTCAGTGGCTCTGCAGGGCACTCATCTGTGAGGGGGTGCAGACGGGGCAGTAGTGCCGGCAGTTGTTGACCCAGGTCGGGGAGGTTAGGATGCATGAGAGAAGCAGAGTGCTGCGTCTGTAGCATCTTAGCTGGCATGTTTGACGAAGACGAAGGTTCAGACTAATGTCTGGAAACTAACCAGTCTCTCCACAGACGACTGGTCAACACAGGAGGGCCAGCTCCTCAACCGTGCACCTCTCAGGAACAACGAACACTCTTTTGAGGACCAACATGTTATTTTGGACCAAGAAGAGATGGTTTGAGAGGGAGGGAGGGAGAAGGAAGCCATTTGGGTCAAACAAGCAAGAACTTTAAAGAGATGAGGAGGTCTCAGATTTAATGCAACTTGAAGCTCAGAACTCCACTCGAGTGTTTGAAAAACTCCCAGGAGGAGAAGAGAAACGTCTTTAAAGCATGGAAGTCCATCAAACTCTTAAAGGTTAATGGCACAGGGAACGGTAGATTTAAATAAGTGACTGCTGTACATCCACCTCCTTTAAAGAGACTTTACTGACTGAAGTCGAAACATGTTGAAAAGTACGGGGCGGAGCCTGGATACAAAAGGATTTCCAAGTCCTAAACATCACCCGGGGTTGGGACTATGGGACATGTGTCACTCACAAGTGGACAATAAATCACAGTTACGAGCTTCAGATGGAAGTACTGTACACATTGTGTACATGTACGTGTGTCGGTACTGAGCATATTTTTATCTAAGTTCCATTACGGTGTAGAAATCTGATTGGCATGCGTCGCTGCAGAGGAGCTTTGTGTTCATTTGGTTTCAGAAAAGATGTCAAGTGAAAACAGAAACGTTAATAAGAAAAACAAAACTGTCCGTTAGAAACCTTCTGATAAAACAGCAGCTGGTGTCATTTAAAGGTTTCTACTTTTATATGTTTTATTTGCATTTTAATCCCAGTTATATCAAAGATCACACTGAAAAAATTAATAACTTGAACCAGGAAAACGTTTGAATCTTTGCAATTTTACCACGACTTTTGCATTTTGTCGTAAACTCTGATCTACAAGTCTTCAGCTGCTGCTGCTGCTTATGATTATGATGCTGCTGCTGATGATTATGATGCTGCTGCTGATGATTATGATGCTGCTGCTGATGACGATGACGATGATGATGATGATGATGATGATGCTGCTGCTGCTGCTGCTGCTGATGCTGATGAAGATGCTGATGATGCTGCTGCTGATGATGATGAAGATGCTGATGCTGCTGCTGATGATGATGAAGATGCTGATGATGATGCTGATGATGATGATGATGGTGATGCTGCTGCTGCTGCTGCTGCTGATGATGATGATGATGCTGATGATG